GTTAATTATTAGAGGCGAAATCAACAAAATAAAAATAAAATAAAAATAAAAATAGATAACCGACTGTGGACTGAGACGAACCCAATTAAATAGCCCGTTTGAAAAGTCTGTGTCAAACTTAATTATCCAACTAATTTGATATTTATCAAGTCAACCGATTAAAAATATAAAAAGGCAAGAATGTGTTGGGTCACATTATAAATTCAATTGATAAATCTAATAAGGTCATAGTTATCATTTTACAATAAAGAATTGTATTTTTTCTTCACTATTTTTTTCACCATTGTTGTCAGATTAAAAATTTTAACTTGAAGATTTTCTTGAGGCATTCAGCCTAAAATTAAATTGGGCTACATAAAAAATTACATGGGGCTAATGCGTTTATGTATAATTTTTTTAAAAAAATAAGGCTAGCAAAAATAACATTAGCAAAAAATTACATGGGGCTGGAGCCCACCCTAGCCTTAGGGTGGCTCCGCCCCTGAGGCTACTTATCGTCATATTTATCACACGTTTGTTTATCATTATAGGCGACGAAGAAGTGAAGGCTCGTCATCTCGAATCCGCCGCCCCCGATCCTCTGTAGAACTTCCTACGGCAGGGCCTCTTCGATCGAGCCGACGTCGTGGGGGATTACGAAGAAGGGAAGCCTCGTCATCTCAAACTCGAGCATAAGCACCAACAAGAGAAATATTGGGGCATAGATTTATCCCAATCGTGATGATCATTGGAGTCTTAGAGCCGTATATATATTCACAATAGGGAATTAGGGTTTACATGATAAAAGGTAACTAGCCTAATTAAATCAATTACACAATTACAACTTCTAAATAATAATCTACAAATATATGGTAAAATATGATACGCTAACGCCCCCTCCCCCACCACCCTCAAGTTGGAGTATGTGGGTTCCAAATGCTCCACTCGCCGAGAAAGAAATCAAACTCGCGCTTGCCCAAAGCCTTAGTGAAAGTGTCCGCCAGTTGAGAATGAGTAAAAATATGAGTAGCAGAAATAAGGCCTTGGGTGAGAGCATCACGTAGAAAGTGGCAGTCAATTTCAATGCGTTTGGTGCACTCATGAAAGACAGGATTAGCGGCAATATGTAGCGCCGCTTGACTGTCATAATGAATCTACATTGGCTGAGAATGAGCCACACCAAGGCTACGAAGTAAACAGCGTAACCATTTCAGCTCTCAAGTACGCGTACGCCATGATATTGGAGAATGCTAAAGTTGAACGAACCAACCAGTGCGAGACCGACGAGTAGTAGGGCATGTTGCCCAATCAGGGTTTACACCAACCATAGATCTACAAGTCACAATCAAACCGAAGAAGAATACCCTAGCCCGGAGTACCCTTCAAATAATGTAACACGCGAGTGGCAGCATCCCAGTGTGCCTGACGAGGCTGATGCATAAACTGAGAGAGCATGTGCACAGCATGAGCCAAGTCGGGACTAGTGACAGCTAAATAAATCAAACAGCCCACTAGCCGCCTATATCACTCAGGATCAGAGAACAAAGGACCATCGATCGATGGAAGCTGGTGATTATGCTCCATAGGAAAATCAGCAGTCGTGCCACCAAGTAAGTCAACTTCGATAACTATGTCCAGAGTGTATTTCCACTGGCACAAAAATATGCTAAAGGAATTCCGAGCAACCTCAATGCCCAAAAAGTACTTCAAGACTCCCAAATCCTTCATACGAAAACAACAACCCAAGTACTCCTTAAAGACAGTAATAGCAGTCGGATCAATTCCAGAAATTATGAGATCATCGACATAAACCAAGACATGCAATTACATAGAATCTCGATGTAAAGTGAAAAGTGAGTAATCAGAATAAAACTGCTCAAAATCATAATTCTTAAGAGCAGTAGCAATCTTTGAAAACCAACAACGAGAAGCTTGCTTTAGGTCATACAGAGAACGACACGGTCGACATACCTCACCCGTCCGAGGAGAATGAAAACCAGGAGGAAGTTTCATGTAAACTTCATCAGTCAAATCACCGTGCAAAAATGCATTGTGAACATCCATCTGATGGACCTCCCAATGACGTACCGCAACAATAGCCAAAAAAGTATGAACCGTCACCATCTTCGCGACTGGAGCAAAGGTCTCCTGATAGTAAATCCCTTCAACCTGCCTATTCCCCAAAATGACCAAGCGTGCCTTATAGCGCTTAATAGATCCATCAGAATGATACTTAATCTTGTAAATCCACTTGCAGCAAATAACATGCTTTCCGACAGGAAGGGGCACAACATCCCAGGTAAGGTTATTTTCCAGATCCTGAATCTCAAGCTGCATGGCCGAGCGCTAGCGACTATGGTATTTTTTTGTATATTTCAAATGATATTTTTTTGTATATTTCTTTGTATTTACTGTGCTACTATGGTACCATTTTGTATCTATAGTAAAAGGAAAAAAAAAAAGGTGACATTTAGAGGAATTTGAGATTTTGAATGACATTGTTGTTATTATTTTATTTTTTATTCAAAATAATAGTAATATAACTATTTAATCAATCTTCTCAACTCAGAGCATATTTTTCTCCTTTCTCCTTTCCCCTTTCCCTTTTTTCGTGCAGGAACCATAATCGGCGAGTCACCTCCCTTCTAGCGGGCCTAGGCGCCGTCTAGCCGCATGGCCGATTAATCAACTGGGATTAATAAAATATTGACTTCAAAATTAAATAACCCACATCATCCTTAGCCTTTATTTGCAATTAATTAAAATTTTTTGATTTGCAAAATAGTCCATAAAATTTATTGAATTTTAAAAAATGAGTCCCTGGAATTCCTAACACTATTTCGTATTCATCTATCTGCTCGGCCGCCGCCATTCGCCGGCCGTCGGTAAACCTGATTTCTTTTGCATCATTTTTTTTGTAGCCAGCCACGGTATCTGGAGCTATGCCCCGACTAATCCGTTGGTCGACCCGGGTTGCACACCTGGCAGTGGTAGGTGAGTCTCCCAACAATGATTTTCTGCATTCACATCATTTTGAAGCTCTTTTCGTCCTAGTTCACCTACTAAAATTTCCGGCGAAAATTCCGGTAAGACAGTCAATTGCTCAGGGCAAAGTTTTTAGATCTAGAAAATTTCGGTCAAAATTCGATCTTCTTCTTCAATTTTCCCGCAATTCACGACGACCCTCCGAATTTCGGGGACACCTCCGGACTCCTCGCGCCGCCGCGTACCCAATGACGTATTCCATATCTGAAATCGGCACCAATGAATGATCATCTAGGTGGCTGAAGTTGCAGCTTTAGTTGCTCATGTCAAAAATTAATTTGAGGCCAAAATAACACTCTCTGTACACGACTCTGGATATTAGGCTCAGCATTTGTTGACGGTTTTTAATTCTCAAGATGATTTAAACGAATCATCAGATCGGACGATCAAAATACCACTTTTCCCGTTCAAGATTTTGGCAAATGGGACTTAGTTTTTTCAGTTCAACTCAAAGATGAAACAAATAAGACTAAATAAATAAATAAATAAACATGCTTGATCACATGTTTGAGGACATGAGTTACTCAATTTTGCACGACTTTTTCGTGATGAAGGTGGAGCAACAGTGGTTTTGAGGACATGTTTTTTTTCTTTATTTCTAATTTCCACTTTGGTTTTAATGTTTTTTTGTTTGAATTTTTTGTTTCATTTTTATTTTTCTTTTTTTGCTTATTTCCACTTTGGCGTAACCAATTTTTGGTTAATCTTTTTTTTATTTATTTAATCGTATCTAAGTGTTATTTCCATTTTTGCAATCAGGATGTCACATCATTCCAAAAAATTGTAATCGATTTAACTGAACACCACGTCACGCCACATCATATTTTTATCCAGTGTGCGTAGGACTAATTTTGACTTTTTGCAAAGGCATTTAAGCCTTTTTGCACCTTTTCCATGAAGGGAAAATTTATAAATTAATCAATGAAAGCTGCATAATTATTTATAACTAACTAATAAAAGGACCTAGACAACAAGTCTTGTTGTAAGAAAAACGAACATAATTTTGGCCTCTTTCTTTGTACCAAAA